AGAACTGAGGTTCTACTCTTTCTTAAAAAAAATAGAGATAATTGTCTAGTATTTCTGGAAAGCCTAAGTGGGAGTGGTACATATTTTGATATCTACAGAAAACATCTTCAGAAATGCCTCTTTCCCATCTAGCTTTGTTTTCAGTGGGTTCTATTAAGCAATAGTTTTTATATAGGAACTTGCTGACTTTCACCTTGCTCAGTTAGCTTCACTGGTGTCAGTTGAAATGACTTTCAAAATGAAATAAGATGATGTGAAATTAATATAAGACTATATCAGAGGTGATGGTCAATTGATAAGCAAAAGGAATATATTTTAAATGCTCACAAATAGCTGATCACTGACTAAAAACACTAGGAAGGGTATGAATGATCAACACTTCAACTTTTATCACAGGAGAAGATTATTTATGTTCTTGCATATAATACATTAATAAAACATGAACTTAGTTCTATCCTTGAAGTTTATTACCTGTTACCTAGTAAGAGGTGGGTGTTTGGTCAGTGTCTGGTGCAATGTAAGGCCAGCAAAGGAGAACACAGTGATCAGGAGAGTGCTCAGAGACAGCTGCCAAACTCCTCAAGCCTGCAAGAAGTTGTTCCTTGGCAAGCCCAGGCTAGACTCTAGAGAGAGCCAAAAGAAAACTTATCCAGGACCCACACTGCAACTGTACTGTATCAAGGGCTACAAAGGCCTGTGTACAATGTCTGTAAATACAGCTTAGAAGTGTTTTAAGTCATTCTTTCCATCAACTTCACTTTCCTAAAGGAAGAATCCCAGTTAGGTCTCAGCATAAACATGTAATCACCTAGTGTTATAGACAGAAAAGACTCAAATTGTACTGAGATCTCTTAAGAGAAGGAAGGGAAAAGAATCTTTAGTCTTCCTGATTCTGTCAGCAGTGTCAAGAACCTCCACAGAACTAGTTCCAAGGCTCATTCTGAGTTCAGCCTGGAGGAAACTGTGCACAGCCACCACCAAACAAGAGAGAAGATAAACACGTGTTTAAGAATTATTTCAGCTTTTCAGATTCTAAGGGCTTTAATATGAAACAGTGAAGAAAAACATTTTTAAAATCAGGAAAAATACCTGGACAAGTGTCCTTTTAAGGTGCCTGAGGACTGGCTCATTCTCCAAAGATACTACAGTGAGGTCCAGTATCGTGCGAACTACACGGTGGGGAAGCTGTTGCTACTCCCAGGTACATCCCACCAAAGGACCTGAGAACAACAGCCTGGGTCAGTGCAGCATCTCTGGCAGGTGCTGGAAGAGCTCCTTCCTCCACAGTCACAACTAGCAACACCTCCTGAAGCAGAACCAGCCCCGGAACCTGGCAGTCTCCAGGAGACAATCCACAACCACTCCAAGAGCCCAGCAGACACTCCAAAGGAGCAAAGAGGCAGAACTGGCACTGGCAGAGTGTGGGGCAAGACCAGCAGCCGAGACAGAAGGAGCTCACGCCAGGCTCTGAAGAGGTCTCCTATGCACAGAGAGAGGAGCCAGCCTGGATGGTTTCCCCACCGAGGGGAGAAGGTGAACAGTCCCTGAGAAGCTGCACCTGAAGTGTCAGTGTTCCTGGCCAGTGCTGCTGCAGAGACCTGCACAGGCTCCTCAGACCAAACACCAGCACCCAGCACTGGTGCCACCACCGGCACGTGCCACGGTGCCCGGGGACAGTGCCCAGGGTCCCCAGCACAGCCATCCACCTCCCAGAGCCTGGCACCCCCAGGGGTCACCCAGGCACCAAGGAGCTGCCAGACACAATGTCTCTCACTGAACAAGACAGCAACGGACACAGAGAGGAAGGATTCATGTGAAGCAAATCAAGAGGTAGGTATTTTTCTGTGCACACTAATTACCTGGTAAATGACATCTTGGAAAAGAACTGGAAAAGTCAGTGCAGCATCTTCTAATTCATTTAGACTACAGTGCACTAATGTTTCATCCTATTAAAAAAAATAAAAGATGGTATAAAAGAGAGAAGATGTTGTGACAAGTGTTGAAAAACAAAGCAGTTGCCTGGATTTTCATGCTCATTTTAAGGTAGGTTTACCTAGTCTGGAAAATTTATTTTCAGGCAAGGGCTTTCACGACTGAAGAATAATTCTTAGAATGAATTATACATTTCATTATTCTTGCAGTTTTTGAAAAATTTCACTTCAAACTGTGTGCTAGGGGCATAATTATAAGAAGATACTTTGTAGGCTGTCCTGTCATCCAGCTAAAGGCTGCATCTGCCAGTGTGAATGATCTGTCCATCCACATGGCCATGAGAGGACACTGACTGATACTGGGCATGGTAAGATAATGGTCCTAACAATACTAACAGGGTCTGAAACAACTTCAGAACAGGGAGACTAAACCAAATTACAAATATATTTTCTAGGAATATTTTGAAAAATGGATTTGTGCCCTCTAAGAGTAAGAATGTTCTAAGAATGAAAGCATTCATTCCTGACCCATCCTGACACAGGACATATGAAGCTGAATTTTCCTTCATTTATTACATCTCACTTTTTCCACACTGGATTTAGGAAAGCTTTATGGGAACAGATAATTCTTTGTTTGATAAAAAAAAAACCATGATAATTTTTGTTGTAAAAGGATGTTAAGCATCCAACAAATACAACAAGCATTCCCTTCTTGCCACTTTTCCTTTCTAATACAGACTGTGTTTAACTAAAAATGGTGTAACATTCAACAAGGCCTTTTTGTTTAAAGCAAACATTGCTCATCTCAGCAACGAGCAGAACCCAGGGAATGTGACATACCCCCTGCTTTTGGTATGTGCAATAAAGATATTTACCAAGTCTAGAACTAATGAGAATTCTGGTGTGCTTCTTGTTTTCAGTGGAAGAGCTGGTTTCCTGTTCAGCTGCTCTTCTGTTAGTGGTGGAACATGTTTGATGAAATAATACCTGAAAAGAACACAGATTTTGCCATAGCAATGGATATACATTATTGAACTGGTAACGCTGTAGCCCAGCTTAATGTTTCAAATATTTAAGGGTAAAAAAGTACTTCAAATAAAAAAAAAATCCCACATCAAAATACACTATTTTTTTTTAAGTTAAGAGGCTTTGGAATTCATTACTGCAATATAAAAATGTTCCAGCTAAAAACCCCCATCTTAATCCCACACCCAAAGTGGCCGGCTGATTTTTTCCAGAACAAACATTAGCACTTACGGATCAAAGACTTCCCAGTCTTCTTCATAGGTGGCTTCTGCATGAGCTGATGAGTAGCCACTGTCTGGAGATACTGGTGCTAAAATTCAACGAAAATGACCAAAACAACAAATAAAACAAAAAACCACAAGAGCTAGTCTTATTAGTGCAGTTTTTAGAAGTGAAAATTTGCGCTTTCTACACGAGTGCCTCCAACAACAGTGAAAAACAGCTCCCACCCTCTGAGCCCTCATGTTCTCTCAGCCAGCCTGCACAGCTCCTCAGGAAGGTACCCAGAGCCTCATGTCCCCTCACGCTACAGAGCTCCAGATGTACCAGGAGTCCTTTGAAGAAAGTGTGGAAAATTCACGTAGGATCGAGATGTTTCCCCTTCTCCTCCCCTTGCTGTTCTGAGAGATGACATTGGCAGTGCTGGGTTAATGGTTGGACTTGATCTTAAAGGTCTCTTCCAACCAAAATGATGCTATGATTTCAAAATGCTGCATGGGTCTTTTCTGTGAGCAGCAAGCCTAAGGGGTGCACTGTAATGAAGGTGGGGAGGTTTCAACAGTAACAGAACCACCTTTCTTCTGGAACCTTTGGTTTCATTTGAAGAAATGTTATGAAGTCAACTGAGTTACACCAAGAACAGATGAGACTTGCCAAAACTCGTCTGTGGTGCATACACCACATTTGTCTAAACATAAAAATCAATATTATTTACTGTTTGCATGCCTCAAGCAAACATGAAATATGAATGCAGATAAAAGGCAGGTGCTAGGACCTCCCTGTGGGTACAACTCCCAGCAGGGTCTCTGGGAGCCCAAGGCAAGCACACCTTTCTTACCTGTAAGGGGGGGCAGGTCACGGTCACTTGTTTCCTCCACCTCCTCTAGCCCATTGTTGACAGCAGACCTGACCTGCACTGCCTGGCTGCTGTAAGCTGCTCCATTGGTTGACGTTGCAGTACTCGTGGTAATCTCATCTACCTGTTCCATATCAAGCTGTTTGACTATTTCTTCAGCTTCAACAGCTTGGCCTGGCGAATCTGATCCTGATGTTCCTGAATTAAGAGTTCAGTACACTCACAGTCATTACCTTTAAACCAAGTTACCCATCAGAGTAATGATAGTCATCATTAGCCAGACACAAAACGTTTCAGAATTATCAACAATAGCTGCATTTGATTCATATTACAAAAATAAGAACCACAGTGAAGGCCACAGCAAATGCCTTTTATGTTTGGGACATGGAACTTAATACCATTTTTTTCTTTCTTTCTTTTTTAAATAAAATGTACACCACTAGATACTTGCACCTATGAAAGAAATGTTTCAAAGCACAGACTTATTGCTTCTTTTATTAATGAACAACCCTTCTAGGAATTAGGAAGCTCTTTATCTGGTAGTAAATCTTGGGCCTGTAAATCAGAATGAAAAGTGCACTGCTGCTCAAAATAGCTTTTTCTTGAAAAAACATAAAATGCGTTCTCAGCTTTTATGGGCTTTTAAAATAATACTCACCATTTTTATTTGCTGGTGAAAAAAAATTGAAAACAGGAGAAAATATGGTTCCCAGTAACGTAGTTCGTGGGGGACTGCCAGTGGTAGGATTATCTTCTAACTTTCCATTTTGCTTTACATGTTGGTTTGTCATTTCATAACTCCCAGCTTCTGTAAAAGAAAAGTTACAGGCTGTAACACCATGCTTCTGCTTTTCACCATTACATCCTCTATTTTCCTGTAATGAAAATAACAATAAAGATCCCTCTAGTTCATGCTTCAACTTGGTCAACAAAAAAATTAACCAATTTAATTTAAAAAAAAACCCAAGAGCTAGCAATTTAGTATGGACATAAACCCCAAAAGCCAATTTTCAACACCATCTTAGCACTTCAGATTAGGAAGCACTCCTAAGTATGCTATTAGTTGCCAAATAATAGCAGTTTAAATCCTTTAAATGGGCTTGATGAGGCAAGGCAGGCTGTCTGATGCTGCGTGCTGCCAACAGCAGGGGGACTCCACCAGCTGGAAACGAGCAAGTGTTGGTGGAACTCCAGTGGCTGCACCTCCAAACTTCACAAGACCCACTCTGTAGTTTGTGATTCCACACACACACATATATGCATAACCAGAGTTACAAAGTCATAGTTAGTTGTTACCATAGGTAATGAAATCTTTACTTTCTCTAACTAATTAAACAGAATTAAATAAATCTTCACATTACAAAACCTAACACAACAATTAAGGTTTTCTAGAAACGTGCCTGTGCAGTAAAGCACATCCCAGAGCTAAACTGGCTGTCTCCTGGCTGAGGCCCACGTCAGTTCTGAGCTGAGCTCTGGTCTTTGCAGCCCCATGGGCTCAGTGTGCTCCTGGTGTACAGCTCACAACCCTCACTTTAACTCAGTTGTTTCTCTTCTGTCTTGGACATCACCTGCAGGCCTCACACTAAGGGGGTGCATAACTCCCATCCACACTGTTCTGACACAAGGGGTGTGCCTGAGAAGCGATGTTGAAACTGTTGCTGAGTCTTAGAAACCTTATTTCACTACTATCACCTCAGCCTTGCCTCCTGCAGCCCACCACAAACCCCTTCAGAGCCTGGACTGCTGGCTGCCAATGCCCAATGCCAAACCCCCCCTTGGGCTGCCACAGAGGATTACAAACCTCCATTCATCTGACTTTTCCGTCGTACTCGGGAGATCTGTTTATTGGGCTTCTCTCCTGCCTGAGGTGTGGATGTGATCAAGTTGTTATCGATATCCCGCTCGATTCTGCTTCTTTTTGCAGGATTTTCTCTTTCTTCCTTAAAATAGAAAAGAGGGGAAAAAGACACATACTGAATAGTGCCTCTTGTCTCCACTGAGCACCACCAAAACATATTAATTGGATCTTCTGTGAAACTTTCTCTACATTTATTGTTCCACTTCCAGATGCAGAACGTGCAACATGTAACTGGCCAGATGGAATTTTAAACTCAAGGTGACACAACTCAAGGTAAATAGCAAAGAATGGGAAAGAAAGGTATACTTAGAACTTCTGGAGTGGGGAAAGTTCACACTGCTGTGCCCACGGTCTAGTAGGTAATGCCATCCAAAGATGAAATTAGATAGAATGTTGTTGTTGTTAATGGGCAATGTTTATGTATAGGTATAATAACAGTATAATGTCAATTGGCCCATCAACATCCACATTCGAAGAGCCACAGCTTAACCTTCAGTTTCCCTAACTAAATAGCTGTAATGTTTTCTCAGGTTTTGTTTGTTTAAAGAGTATTTCTAAAGACATGTTTACAATACCAGATAAATGACCTATGGCTGTGATCAAAATCATAGAACCCCAGACTGCTTGGAGCAGGAAGGGACCTTCCAAGGTCACCCAGTCCAACCCCCTGCAGGGAGCAGGGACATCTGCAGCTAGAGCAGGGTGCTCAGAGCCCCGGCCAACCTCCCCTGGGATGGTGCCAGGGATGGGGCAGCGACCACCTCTCTGGGCAGCCTGGGACAGGGGCTCACCACCCTCGCAGATTAGAAATTAGGAAGAAGTTCTTCACTAAATCTCCCCCTCTTAAGATATTGAAACCATTACCCCTCATACTATCACTACACTTCTCCAAGATGAGCCCTTCCTCATCTTTCTTGTAGGCCCCCTTGAAGCCCTGGCAGCCCCCAGCAGGTCTCCCCAGCTGGAGCCTTCTCCTCTGTGGCTGCCCCAGCCCAACTCTCTCCTGCTGGGCTCCCAGCAGAGGGGTTCCCCCCTCGGGGCATTGCTGGGGCTCCTCTGGCCCCGCTCCAGCAGGTGCCTGGCTCTGCTGTGCTGAGGACTCCAGAGCTGCCCCAGCACTGCAGGGGGGTCTCCC